CTAGAAATCTATGAATCTATGAATCTAGACCTGCACTGGGGAGCTGATGTAGATTTTATTGTTTGGTTTCAGGACCATCATCCATCTCAGCAAAACCAGGGTGGATTACATGGCATTTATTTGCGAGCCTTCTGCACAGGTCTTGATTCAGTGCTGCAGCCATATCGACAGGCACTACTTGACCTAGAACAAGAGGTAAACAAGAGAGACTTAGAACAAGAGGCTGTCCTGCTGCTGACAGGATGTGAAAAGTTGGAATTTCTGCAATTAATATGCTAAGTAGTAGTAGCTAAAGAGGAGACAAGGCATTTTCCTTTCCACATTAGGGATGTCTCTCAAATTATTCCTGTGAGGTGCTGTGATAAATAACTCTTCATTCTAATAAGTATTAAGTCTCCTCTGCCTTCATTTCAGTAAGTGCCCAGACTGCCTCTGGGCCCAGTGCTGTCTCAGACTATTGTGACTTCTAATTTCAGTTGTAAAGGTTTTTATTAATCTCCACTAGATTAGCAGCTGTCATATTTTGGATACTGTCATCATCCAGTGGTTGTTATAGCCTAAAATGGGACACTGCCCAAAAATACGTGGGAGAAAAAAAAAAGCTGTGGGAACTAAAGGTTTGGAATATAGAGCCAAATGTGCTTTTTTACTTATCCATATCTTATTTTAATTTTCATTAATTGCTTTGTTGTTCTTACAGTTTCTGGCCGACCCACATCTTTCCATCTCACATGTAAATTATTCCTTGGACCAGGTATGTCATGTTAATAAACAGGTAGTGCTCCTAAACTTAGGTCTAATAAGAAAATGGGTGGGATAAACAAGAGTTAGTCTGTCATGTCATGCCATTTGTTTTTAATGCCTCTATATTTGTAGTCCCTTAATCATGCTCAGAGGATTACCTGCACTTTGACACAAAGCTTAGGTTCTTCACCTTGATTCTCGCATATTCCTCACTGCCTATGTTTAGCTTGAACTGCAGCTGGAATATAGTAGCTTTATGCATCTTGGTCCAGTGGAGGGAGGACATTCTTCAGAGAGACTTTCATGTCATGTTTCTAATTTGTGGGGAAAGCCAGATGATAGTTTCATTGAAGTATTGTAATCAGCTGCTGTCCTTACTTACTTGATTATAGTTTTTCTCTCTCCTTTGCATAGCAATCTAATTCAATATTTTGCTCCTTGTTCTGCAGTTTCAGTTACTCTTCCCCTCTGTGATGGTCATGGTGGAACAGATCAAGACTCAAAAGGTATAGTAAAATTATAGCTAGTTTCTCTTAATAAGTTTACTCTTTAGCTGATAAAGTTCATTCTGCCCTCATCCTAGACCTTTAATACTAGGAAAGAATGTGGTTTCAATAATGGGTGCCCTGTCCCTAGTACTAATGTAAGCATTGAATAGCTATTTTGCAAATCCATTTACACTGGATTTTACTTTTTCATTATCAGTATGATTTTTGATGACTTGCATTTTATAATCACAATACGTTTCATAGTATGAGATGCTGCTGGTTGGAGTTTCTTCTCTTCTGAGTCTGTTTTCTCCCATTGTCACCCCAAAAAAAAAAAAGAAGGCAGAAGCTAATGTTTTCAGAATCTGGAGATGCTTACTTTTTGTGAAGGGAAATTTTTGAGAGAAGCTTGGGTGTAGAACCACACATAGAAGACCTCTTTCTTCTTTACATGGAGCATGTTACATCTTTGTTTCTGTAAGACTTTAGCTTGTTGAGGCATTTTCTTGTTAGCCAAAAGTGTAGTGTTTAAGTGTCTGAAAAGGTCAGTTATCCAAATAACAGACCTAGTCTAACCGTGTTTTCTTTCTGCAGATTCATGGATGTCAGATATTGGAGACAGTCCACAAACATAGCTGTGGGGGGTTGCCTCCTGTTCGAAGTGCTCTTGAAAAGTATGTAGATGCAGTAAAGCTATTATTTCATTCTTCCGTAGTAACTGGAGTTAGTGTCAAAGCATTTATCTTGTGAAAACAGTACAAGCAAAACAGAGTTGCCTGATGTAAAAGTAGCAGTAGCATGCAGGGAAGACTGTCACAGTTCTCATTATCTATCCAAAGGAGGCTTATGGCAGGAATTAAGGCTTTCTCCATACTTTGGACTGCAAACTTACTTATGCTTTTGGTATACTAGCAGATCTCCGTGGAGAAGCCACATATTCAGAGGATGTGTTAGTTTAGTTTTGCAAGTGATTGGTCCACCTCTGTTTAAAAAAAAAAAAAATTTATAAAATTTCACATTAGCCATTTAGCACTTGTCATACTGCCTGACTGACTAACTGGACTTTCCAGAATGATGTACAACGAGGTTTTGATTACTGCATACAAAGGCCCCACTGTCTGTTTCTCTTGACCTCAGGATCCTGGCTGTGTGTCATGGAGTCATGTATAAGCAGCTCTCTGCCTGGATGCTGCATGGATTGCTACTAGACCAACATGAAGAGTTCTTTATCAAACAGGGCCCCTCTTCTGGCAATGTCCCTAGCCAACCTGAAGAAGATGATGATGACCTAGGAATTGGGGGACTTACAGGAAAACAGCTACGAGAACTGCAGGACTTGGTAAGACTGCAAGTCATAGCTTGGCATCCCTCAGGTCTTAGGAGACGAAAGAAGAAATATGTTGTCTTCCGCTTCAATGCGAGCTATGCTAGACTGGACATGTATTGAGACCTGGTAGGATGGCAAATCAACAATATTGTAATAGGTTGCAGCTGGGCATAAAGGACAGAGACGTACCGTTAGGCATAGCTGGATAATCTCGGGCAGAAAGCCCTGTGGATGGAATTGGTGTGGACGCTGATGTCAAGTAATTGGAACTGCTGTACTCATCCTGCTCTTGAATAACTCTTCTGATTTCTTACTGTCAACGCTGTGATCTGCTCAACGTAGGCATCGGTGATAGCGTGAGCAATGGCAACGGAAAGGGTGTGGGGAGCTTGGGTGTTGACTTCATTTCCACCCTTTCTATCAGCAGCTGGGTCAGTCTTGCACAACTGTTTGTTGTGCAAATGTTACCTAACTGGGTAATATTACTGACATTACTGAGGGAAAAACGTGCTATGCAGGAGTCAAGAGGCTGCTAAGAACATGTCCAGGGTGCTAAGTTAAGCAGGGGAGCAGCCTGTCAGTATACTAGCAAAATGCGGTAACTCCTCACATAGATGGCGTACCATTAGAGTACCCTTGTGCAAAGCAGCTTTCTCCATGGAGTAATCTTCCACACTTTGTGCATCTGAATAGCGTCTGCAGCAGGGACCAGTAAGGGGCAACTGCAACTCTTTAAATTCATGCTCTAGTGTACTGTGAGAAAATGTTTCATGGGCACCCATGGTGGTAGTGTGCTGCATGCAACTTGGCTCTGAACGCATAAAAGATTCACCTCCAAAACGCCCTGCGTTGCACACTAATTGAGTGCCGTGTACAGTCTCTGCTGAGGACAGACTACACACAGGCATAAACAAAGGAAAACTTTAAAATGCAGTTAATGAAAAATCTATTATTTCACTATATTGGATGTAGGAAGAATGTGAAAATTGGTGAGTCTTCTAGATCCATGGTGGAAAATGTAGGCATTAAGAAGATGACACCAAGAGAGCCTACTTAACTCTCTTCTTCAGTATGGCTGATTAACAATGTTGGCAATTCTTCAGCTGGAGAGTAAAATAAGAAATCCTGAGTGTTGATGGGATAGACTGATAAAATACTTGCGTACTTCCTCATCTGAAAATGTCAGAAGAATCTTAAGAAAAGAATTGCCAACCTGTTAACATCACTATACAAACTCGTACTTAACTCTCATATTAAAATGAATTCTGTAGATAGCAAACGTTCTCAAAAAATCGTTAGCATGGTGTTTTTTGGATTATGGACTAATGAACCTAATTCTCCAATAACAAGGAAGCCAAGTGAAATAATCAATATTGCTTCTCTGAAGGAAAAATCTCTTCTCTGTACTTGGAGTTCTTTGTTAAGACATTCAGAAAAAAAGTTAATAAGTTACTGTATTGTTTTAAACACCTTTTGCAGGAACTGAGAAAATTGTCTAATTTATGCTAGCAAGGCTTCAGACTTTTAACCTATTTGCTCACTGTGGAGGTGTTTACATTTGGCCCGTACCACAAGTGTTAAAACATAGAGGAATGGGTGTATGGGAGGATTATTTTTGGTAATACTAATTAACATTGTTACAGCTGTAAAAAACCTCATGTAATGCCTTTGCAACAAAAATTCCTTTTGTTGATGTAACATTGTCCTTTGGGAGAGCCAATTTTCTGCTGTTCCACAAAGATTTACCTTCTCCTTTTCTTGCTTCTGCTCCCTTCTCTGATGAAAGCAGCATCTTCTCTAGGGAGATTTGCTAGCATACCAGAAGTATAAAGAAGTTTGCAGGCTTGCTTAAATGATGCAAATCTAGTTTGCTACCTTTTTGCTTATTTCCAATGTACTTGGATTCCCCCTCCCACACACCACACCCCCCCTTAATACCCGTTTTGTATCTGGTTTTCTCACACTGTTTTTGCTTGATTTCTTTTCCCCGGGGTCTCTGACAGCGCTTAATTGAGGAAGAGAACATGTTAGCTCCATCTCTAAAACAGTTTTCGCTGCGAGTAGAAATGCTGCCTTCATACATTCCCGTGCGGGTTGCTGAGAAAATCCTCTTTGTGGGAGAATCTGTACAGATGTTTGAGAATCAAAATGTTAACCTGACCAGAAAAGGTAAGGAACAACTTTCTTGTGGCCTTTGCTCAGTTATGAGTGACTGACAAGTATCTTCCTATTACTGTATTAACAAATTCCTCAGCAGTCACTGACTATTGGCTGATATTCTTCAGAACATATGGATGGTTGTGCCAGGGCAGAGCGGTGGTCCCAGTGTTCTACTTCTGATTGGTTCCAAGGGAGCGGTATAAGAACAGGAGGAGTAAATAATAACACTTTCCAAACATAGTCTCCACGTTTCCTGCAACAAGTCATCGTGTGGTTGCTCTGCATAAATAAAGCTATTGCAAAGGTTGTGTTTTCTTTTCAGTTTGCATCCCTGTCCCTGAAGGATTCTGACAGACACAAGGGCATGTCTTGCTCTGAGTGTTGCAGAATGGTGTCGTAGGATTAAAACGCATCCAGAAACATGAGATTCGTTGCAAAGTGGTCCCAAAGGTGGCTGTGGAAGACAAACGAACCAGATGGAGCCTTTAAGACCACAAGAGAGAGACAATGCCAGCTGATGGTTCTCTTTGATATCCAAATAAGTTTACATTGCAGATGGTTTTGGAAATATATTCCTACACCACTTGGATGGGACTGCTGTGGAGGCTCTGTCTTGAGCTTGTCTATGCAAAAGTACTCAAATGACTTGAGCAACATTGCAGAGAACAAAGGACCAAATAAACTGCACTGTTTTCTCTTCTTAGGAGAAGCAAGGTGAAAAGAAATTGGTCTTCTAGCTTATTTGGTTAAAAAAAAAAAATCCCCAAGTTCAAGCAGTAGGATAGATTTGAAAGGGGCCAGGGTTAGGTGGAGAACCAAATCAACTGGTTAATGTGGCAGAGAAGTTGTGGGTTCAAAGATCTAGCACGATCCTAGGAAAAGGGCTGTTAGTGGCAATCATTTACATAGAAAATGTTCTGGGTTTTTACTGATAACCACAGCACTGCCATGTTAAGTGTCTATACTGTAACCGTACTTGCAATAGTCATCTTGTACCTTGGTACTTGTACTTTGAGGTATCCTCAACTTTACATTCCTTGCCAGACCTGAGATGGTGCTGCCTGGACAGCCTTTTCTGCCCTGTTTTGCTGGAAGGGGTCTGCGTTTCTCCGAAAGGTATTCCTTTTTGTTGTCCAAAACACTTTTCTCATTGCTGCACAGGCTCCATCCTAAAAAACCAGGAGGACACTTTTGCAGCAGAGCTACATCGACTCAAGCAGCAACCACTCTTTAGTTTGGTGGACTTTGAATCAGTGGTTGACTGGATACGGAGCACTGTTGCTGAGGTAAGGATCCTAGGAAGGATTACTGTGCAGGCTGAGGAGAGCTCTTCAGTTTTGTGAATGACTGGGAGAAGGAGGTGGCTCTTTAGAATCAGTGATTCAATAAGGGTGTGAACGCTGCAGGTAGCTTTCATGTTCTTAGGGGGCTCAGAGCTTCATGTTACCCCAACTTCTAATGACAAAAGGACATTAACAAATACTATTCACTTTCACAGGGGAAAGAGGGGGATTTTTATGTTATTATTTTTTTTTATTATTTCACTTGCAACGACTTCAGAATTTTTCATCATGCTTTCAGCATAATAGATAACCTCTCACTGGACAAATTCTTTGCTTTGGCAATTTTTAATTTTTTTTTTTGGTCTGTGGCAGGGGAGAAACCGGAGAAGATCGGGAAATCAGAGAACCAAGAACAAAGCTAGGGTGGAACTGACTTCATAAGAATTTGCTTATTTTTTGTCATGGGTTTTCATGTTCTTGGGCAGAGTTTCTTGCTGGTGTACACCAAGAACGTTCTAACTTGTAGCATGGGCTGCCTGCACACAGGATTTCTAGTGTCTTCTCTTGTGCTTTATATAGCATTTTATATAGGTGCTTTTTTGTATGCATCACAAGTATTTTAAGACAGCTACTCTTCTGACTGAATGGGTTTAGATAAATCTGAGGGAAATCTTTTTGGTTTTTGTTTTGTTTGTTTGTTTCCTCACTAGCATCTTTGGAAACTGATGGTGGAGGAATCAGATTTACTAGGACAACTGAAGGTAATGTAACTGCTAGCTTGTTTTTGCTAAAGCAGCTTAAACTTTTTTTTCTTTCTATCTTTTTTTAATCACTTTCATTAAATACTTTACTGTCTTAGATTCTGTGCTTTCTTCTTTTAGGTAAAGCTGTTCTCATTTTCCAGGTCTCAAGAATGAGCACAGTGATAGAACTTGGTCAGGGACCTAGTTAGAGGGGTATGTGTACGTGGTTTTGTAGTTGGCATCTTGAAGGAAAGGCAGCGGAGACTTTTTGGGCACTGGATTAAAGTCATAGCTCTCCAGCTGTGTTTTGAAATGGCAGAAGTTGTCCAAGCAATAATAAAAATGGATGCTATCAGCTAGGATGCTTAAAACTTCTGCTCAGTTTTCTATATGTTTATATACAAAAAATTTATCTCCACAGATTATAAAAGACTTTTACCTTTTGGGAAGAGGTGAGCTGTTTCAGGCCTTCATTGACACTGCACAGCACATGCTAAAAACACCACCTACGGCTGTAACTGAACATGGTGAGTGTTACTTACTTACTTGGCACACTGTCCTCACTGCAGTATAGCAGGAAAATGGTTAGCCATCTCCAGTAAAAAAAGCTCTATCTTATCCTCTAGAAGTTGTCGTTAGTTTTGAAAGGACAGCACCTGTGAAGTAGAATGTCTCACAGAGTGAGTGAAAATAACATCTCAGAAACTTTCAGATGACAGGTTTCTCTCCGTATTTGAAACTGGAATTAAATGAAAATAGTGGAAGTAACATGTCAGTGCTGTCTTTTATGTCTGAGCATAAATAAGTAATAGCTGCAAAATTAGCAATAGCTGCATCATCTCGTGTTGATATTTGTGCTCTTTCATTGTCAGATGTCAATGTTGCGTTTCAACAGTCTGCTCATAAGGTACTGTTAGATGATGACAACCTTCTTCCTCTGCTTCACTTAACCATTGAGTATCATGGAAAGGAGCATAAAGGTATCTACTTGCATTTTGAGTAGTGAGTTAAGAGGGGAGATGATGACCTTGTTTTCAAGTCCAATTATTCACCCTTCTCTGAAGTTAAAGAAATACTAACTTTGTTGCCTTTGCAACCTTACGTGATGGCCTAGCCTTCTTTGGCTCCTCTTATTTTATTCTTTCCCCTTCCTCACCATGGTTGTCTTGACTGAGAAGATGACTTAATTCGGTACCTCATTTGTTTTCAGATACTTCTCAGACTCGTGAAGGGCCTTCCCGGGAGTTATCTCCACGTGAAGCCCCCACATCTGGATGGGCAGCTCTGGGCCTTTCTTACAAAGTTCAGTGGCCACTGCACATTCTCTTTACTCCTGCTGTTCTGGAGAAGTAAGTACTAGGTATAGTCTTTGTATATTCATCTATAGGTTCCCTGATCTCAGGAATTCACTAATGTGTTGGGTTTTTTTCCCTCTCTCTGGAGAGAAAGGTAGAGCTTGCTCCTTGAACCTTAAAATGGCTCTTTCCACTTATTCATACTGAGAATACTTGTTATAATGACAGTAAGACCTGCAAGATGCTGACAGATCTGCAGTATTTTAGGAGTAGTGCTACTTTGACAAAACATCGTCAGCTCTTCCCTCATAGTGAAATTAACTTTGTGGTTTTTAGGACAGTAACTGATACAAGCAGAGATCTGTTATTCTGAGATGGGCCATCACCTGAAGTACCCTGTCTGTTGGCAGGCAGCTACTCCCTGTTTCTTTTTCCAATCTGGCATTATGTTCTTCAGTACCTGCACCAAAGGAAGATTTTAATCTTAAACAATTTTGTATTTTTTGACTGTAGGTACAATGTTGTGTTCAAATACCTGCTGAGTGTGCGACGAGTCCAAGCTGAGCTACAGCACTGCTGGGCTCTCCAGATGCAACGCAAACACCTGAAATCTAACAGAACTGATGCCATCAAGTGGCGTCTGAGGGATCACATGGCTTTCCTTGTGGACAATCTTCAGTATTATCTGCAGGTCAGGATTACAGAGAAAGGTAAACTGTATCAGTTCTTGACAGGAATTCATGGAGAGGGCACTGGAGTCCGTCCTTTCAGGGTTAAGATTCTTTGTACCTTAAGAAAATCAGGATTTCCTTTGGAACAAGTCCAGAACTTTCTCGAGTTCCCAGACTTAGTACTACAATTATAAAGTTTTTTGACTTGTGCATCAGTGAGTGTTACTGGAAACGCAGGAGTTTTGGCACTCTAGTGCTACTAAGCATTTGTGAGAAGCCACAGTCACTTCTGAAGTAGCATCATTAAGATCCCTTGCCCCTTTAAGTAAACTCCATTTTGAGTTAAGTTGTTGTTTTGGGGTTTGTTTTGGGTTTTGTGTTGGGTTTTTTTTCTGTTTGTTTTGTTCTTTTTTTAAGAATCCAAAGAAGCCATATTCTCCCCATCTGAAGTAAAAAAGAGACTTTTCAAATGTAAATAGCAGTTATTAGTAGCATGATTTTGTGAGAATTGCTTATCATTTTGTGAATAGCCATAACAGCTGAGTTGAGAGGGCTTGGCTTTCCAGATTCTCCAGAGTAATCTGGCTGAGCTTTTGCACTGCAGCATTTGTCCAAAATTCCAGATAGTATCTCCCAGTGTAAAATTCAGAAATGACTACAAATACCTTTGTTTAGATGCTAGCTATATACTTTTTCAATTGTTTACATGCTAGCTATACACTTTTTCAATAGTTAATCTTAAAGAAAGTGACCCTTTCTACTTAGATAACACTTAAGCATCAAAAATTGTTCCCCTCCATTACGTACTACTGTTGTATATAATTCCCCATTCAGGAGGCAGAGAGAAGGTGATCCTCAGCCTCTAAGGTAAGAGTAGCAATAAGGAAAGTAAGTTTCTTACACAAAGCTTCTGGCTGGTCTGAAGTACTCCCATTCCTCAAGATACGAATGAGATTTCTTTCCATATCCATCAGGTGGATGTACTGGAATCTCAGTTCTCACAGCTTCTGCAGCAGATAAATGCCACGCGAGATTTTGAGAGTATACGATTGGCTCATGATCATTTCCTGAGTAATCTGTTGGCTCAGTCTTTCATCCTCTTAAAACCTGTAAGTCAGTCTTGTTTTCACCTTTTTCTACAAATTTTCCAACTCCCCTAAGAAACACACCTTTTTGAACAGGTATGACAAACCATCTCTTTTGAAACAGATGAGTGACAATTTCCTGTAGAACACAGACTACAATTCTAGGAATAAAGCTGGTATAAACTAGAACAGATAACTGAATTAAGATCACTTAATTTACACTTGGTGAGTGTGGATGCTGCATTCCTGGCAATTTAAAATCAAAATTATTATTATCTTAAATTCTATTGCTGTATTTTTCTCAGAGGCAATTTTATTAAAGAAGTACTAATTAGCATAGTGCTGGGAACTGTATTTCTGAGGGACTTATTCTGAAATGCATTAGATTAGGAAAAATTGCCACTCTTACTTACACTTTAGAGGATAAAAATAGTTGAGATGTTCCTGAGTGGACTTTAAGGGTGTTTTTTATTGTCGTTTCAGCCAAAAATACATTACAGTGTTGCTGGCATTTTTATTAAACATGTAGCCTCACAAAAAACATTTCTAAAGAAGGTTGGTATCAATGAAAGACAACGATACCACAGATCTTGTCTGTTTAATTATTTTGCTCAGTTTATGAGGCTGCAGCATAAAGGTGGCAGAACACTAATTATCCAGTCTGGAACTTGTAAGTGTTCCAGTAGTTATGTCTGTAAGGTATTTGGGCTTTCTTAATGCTCTTGAATGGAAGTTACCTTGATCAACTGATGCAAAAGAAATTCCAGGCTTTGTGAACAGTGAAACCAAGGCCTTGAACCACAGCTCTTGCTGTTCTTTATTCTTCCTTTTCAATCCTGAAGCTGCAATGATGGCTTGCTGGTTGGATAGGGAAGCCAATGTTCAACTTCTGTGCCAATGTGGATGGCTCATGCCAATTGCTGTTTCCCCAGGAATGTCTGCAAAAGGTTGAGGGTGGGGGGGAAAGATGCAGCGTAACATTTAAGTCCTTTTTCCGTAGAAAATGCTACAGGTGCTTTAACATCTTCCTTACTGATTGAAAAACATGGTATCAGCAACATCTTAATGATGAATGCTGCATCTTTTCAGATACTAAGAACAGCCTTCTCTGGGTTTGAACTCTGTTCGTACTACTACCTTGTACTTTTTATCCCATGCAGGTTTTCCACTGCTTAAATGAAATTCTGGATCTTTGTCATAGTTTTTGTTCTTTGGTCAGTCAGAACCTGGGCCCATTAGATGAACGAGGAGCTGCACAACTCAGTATTTTGGTGAAGGTGAATCTATGTTTATATGGATCTGTTTTTCTCCCATGCAAACGTTTGCCTAAGCAGTCATTTTGGCTTTAACAGCCGTAGAACAGGAGTGAGTTTAAGCTGAGACCTTCTATAGGAGTGCGTGCAACTATTTTAATCAATCAACTGTTCCTGAGTCAAAAATTCTATGTGCACAGAGGGGTGGAACATGGGCAGATACGCAGAAATTACCCTACTGGAATAGAAAGGAGGTGGATATCAGCCTGTGTCTCTACCCCTCCTTTTGGATAGGGAGATGATTTTTGAGGCAGCTTACCTTATACTGGACCACAAGCATCACTTCTCTTGCAGTGATTTTCTTCTGCAGGCTCTTAAAGGATTGTTTAGGCAGGAACAGAGATGAAACGCTTGCTTTCTGTCTTTCAAGTCTCTTGAGAGCGCTCAGAACTGACGACTTCTAATTTGTAGGGATTCAGTCGTCAGTCATCACTTCTCTTCAAGATTCTCTCTAGTGTTCGCAACCATCAGATAAACTCTGACTTAGCTCAACTGCTGCTACGCTTGGATTATAACAAATACTACACCCAGGCTGGAGGAACCTTGGGCAGGTAGGCATATCTTCAGAGTTGCTTGTAGCATTATGCTGAGGTACTTGAAGTACAAAGTGATCTATATGATCCTAAGTCATTTTTATTGATTGTTTAAGCCAAAATAATTAGAAGCAAAGTGTTGCTAAATACTATGACAGAAAAGTAACAAATCAGCATGAATTAAGTTTTGGGTTTTATATGCCTTCTCCCTCTCAAGTTTGTTTTGGCATGAAGTTGAGCTAGCTGGTAGCTCATATTGGCTGAAAAATGCTGATGTGGTTTGATAAAGTGAGTTTCTTTCAACATGTAGTTCTTGTCTTGCAGTTTTGGGGTTTAAGCACGAAGACCTTTTCTTCAGGCTATGAGCAGCAATGTGTCAAGCAGCGGAGACTGGTGCTCTTGGAGAGTTTGCACTCCACTGAATTTTTCTTCATAGCTGGGTCTTGCTGGGTGAACCACTGTTTCAGAAGGAAGCGGGAGGAAGCGCCACTTACGTGAGGCTGCCCAGTGACTGGAGAAATCTACTCCGTTTTTTCTGAGCTAGTGAAAACATACTTTCTGCAGCTTTGCCTATACTTATAAATGCTTCTAGGGAGGCAGTCTGTGCCTCTTCAGAAAGTGAAAAAACAAGAATTACAATGTCTTGGCTCTTCAGCTTGACTATGATCCTTGGCAAGTTTGGAGTATGGAAGAAGTAGTCTATTGTTCTTGACTCTGAATGAAGTTTTGGCTGTATTCAGAAGTTCTGATTGTGCTGTAAACTGATTTACAGTACACAATGTCTGCTAATCAAATGCATACCTCCAGGTAAATGAAACAACTGCAATAGCAGTTTGAGGTAAAGTGTGAGAGAAGAAGGAATAGATTTTAAGAATCGCTTCTCATACAGTGCACTGTTCTAGCCTATGTGTATAGGTAAAGGAGCCACTAGTGATGTCACATGCTTTCTCTATAAAACTTAATACCTTTTGTGTGCTAAAATTACACACCTCAAGAAGGAAGTAGGACCTTTGCCCTCTTCTAAGTACAACTCTCCCTCTGCTGGCAGACAAGTGTGGGAGAACTGAAGACCAAGGAGAAACAACTAGGGTACCAGCTCTAAGTGTACTGTTTTCATTCAAGACTATTTAGAATGCTACTAGTGACTATCCTACTGAACCAAAATAAAACCATCTTGTCATGCAATTATGTGGAACACTATCAATGTCTGTACCCAGGTGCAAAGGGACTAGAGTGGCACAGCCTCTTATTTCAAGGAAAAGCAGTATCTGGTAGGAACTCCTTGCATGTTACTAAGATTTCCTAGCCTTGTGATAACAGACTATCTTGCTGTAAGTCCATTTGGATGAGTGGCAGAAGAGAGCCCTCATCTCTGTCACTAGGGTGTAGTATAGGTTTCCCAATTTGAACACAAAGGCTGCCAGGAAACCAGCCCTCCCGTCAAAGGGTTGATATTTTCACTGTGCCCAAAGAAGCAGCTTTCAAGAAAGTTATGTGTCCTTAGGGGGGAAAAGTCCTCTCTGCTCCCTCAAAAAGACAGAGTAACAACAGCCAGCAAGTTAAGTGTGAGGCCTGTCATCTTCAGTGCACTACAGCTGTTCGTGGTAGGACTATGGCTGTTTAAAATCCTGTGGCTGTGAAAAAAGCTAGAAAATCAGTGACAGGGTGTTGAAGTTTGGATGTGGGATTTACGGATCAACAGTCAGAAGGTGGCCAAGTTAGGAAACAACGGGGGAAAAAATATGCATCAAGAAACATGAACTTTTGAAGCAGAGGACTAAAGCCTCTCTACGAGGCTGGTGGAGGCCTGGGTAGACCTCGAGCCTAAAACACTGTTGGAGCGAAGAGCTGTTGAACTTGGCCTTTGCCTTTATGCCAGTCGACTGCTAAGACAAAGTGCCTGGCTGTGAGTGCAGATGCTCAGAGCAGATGATTTGCCCCATTACCATTTAAACAAAGAAACACAGCGCTTACTCTGCACCTCAGTCTCTGCCATGGTGTAGCCCCGCCAGCAGCTGAGCTGCCGCACAGGCGCTCGCTCCTGCACACACTGCAGAGTGGAGAGGAGAAACACGGAACAAAAGGGCTGAGGGTGGAGATAGGAACAGGGAGGGATCACCCACCGACCATGGCCCCGGGGGCAAAACAGACTCAGCAATTTATCAGTTACTTCAGAGAGGGTAATGAGAAACACAGCCAGATCTTAAAAACACTTTCCCCCCCTGCCCCCCCAGTGGTGCAGGGGGATGGGGAATGGGGGCCGCAGGTCAGTTCATCACATGCTGTCTCTGCCGCTCCTGTAAGGGGCAGGACTCACACTCTTCCCCTGCTCCAAACTGGGGGCGCCTTCCCACAGGAGACAGCTCTCCATGAATTTCTCTGATGTGAGTCCTTTGCACAGGATGGCATCCTTTACCCATCAGATTGCTCCAGAGCGAGCGTTTTCCAGAAAGTCATGCCTCCTTCGGGTGCAGGCACCCGTTCTGGCGTGGCATCCATCACCACGGACTACAGATGCATCTCTGCTCCACTATCAATCTCCAGCAGCCCGGGCATCCTTTCCCATGGAAGACAGTCCTCTAGGAATTCCTTCAGGCACAGGCATCTCTGCTGCAGTGTGAGGTCCTCCCTCACTGGCTGCAGGTGGGTCTCGGCTCCAGTGTGTCTCTCACAGGCGGTAGGGGGGTGACTGCCATCTCACTGCGGGCTGAGGGCGATCCCTACTCCGGCACCATCTTCACTCACCTTGGTGTCTGCGTAGCTGTTTCTCTCAGAGCTCAGCCCTCTGCTCTGCAGCCGCACCGGGCCTGATGAACCTCGGCAGTCCCGACAGGAATGAACGCCCTGGCATCCTGGGAGCGGGGGCTTTGGAGCTCTCCAAGCTGCACCACCATGGCCCTCTCCAGCCAAGTGGCAGCAGCTCAGCGTGGGCAGCACCTGCATGGGGGGTGGGGTGAGGTGGGACAGCCAGCCCACCGGCCCCTCTCTTCACTGCAGCTCTCGCCTGGCTTGGCTTCCTTCAGCCCCTTCTTAAACGTCATCCACAGAGGCACTGATGGGCCCTGGCCAGAGGTGGGCCCGACTCAGACAGAGACAGATCCAACATGTTTAAATCATAGAATGGTTTGGGTTGGAAGAGACACCTTCTACTAGATCAGGTTGCTCAAAGCTTCATCCAACCTGGCCTTGAACACTGCCAGGGATGGGGCAGCCACAACTTCTCTGGGCAACCTGGTCCAGTGCCTCACCACCCTCAGAGGGAAGAATTTCTTCCTTAGATCCCATCGAAATCTCCCCTCTTTCAGTTTAAAGCCATTGTCCCTTGTCTTAGCACTACATGCCCTTGCCCAAAGCCCCTCTCCAGCTTTCCTGTAGCCCCTTTAGGTACTGGGAGGTGCTGGAAGGTCTCCCCGGAGCCTTCTCTTCTCCAGGCTGAACAGCCCCAGCTCTCTCAGCCTGTCTCCATAGCAGAGGTGCTCCAGCCCTCAGATCATCTTCTTGGCCCTTTTAAGGACCCGCTCCAACAGCTCCATGTCCTGATTTTGGGGGCTCCCAGAGCTGAACGCAGCGCTGCAGGGGGTGCAAGTAGAGACAAGGATGCTGCGTTTAGAGACAAGGATGTCGTGCAGGACAGCGTTAAATGCTTTGCACAAGTCCAGGTAGATGACAACACTTGCTCTTCCCTTATGCACCAGCGCTGTAACCCTATCATAAAAGGCTGAATTTGTCAGGCACAATTGGCCCTTAGTGAAGCCATGTTGGCTGTCACTAATCATCTTTTTTTTCCATGTGCCTTAGCATAATTTCCAGGAAGATCTGCCCTATGGTCTTGCCGGGCACAAAGGTTTTGGAGCCAGGGAAGCTTCTCTGGGGAAGATTCTCGCAGCCCCTTACAGGGGCTCTCTCTGCAGCCACTCTCTCTCCCCCGCTATCAAAACCCCACCACATAAACAAAGTACAGTCTCCCAGCAGTTTAGTTGTCCTAGGTCCCTGTGTCTGTATCTCTACTTAGATAGTGCCAGTCTGCACCTATACACACAACAACAAAAAAAGAGAGGTAGCCAAAACAAAATGGCACTTTGTCCTAGAAATTCTTACCAGTCACTTCAGCAACATCTCGATGAGATGAATGGAAAAGAACAACAGCAAAGTGGAGAAGTGCACAACGTGCTATTCTTCCAAGCAGAAGTGCTGCTGCTGCCCTGAATTTGGTCATAGGTTATTGACTTCTGTAAATACAGGCTGCCCATTGAGAACACCTTTCCCTTTATAATTGACTTTGTGTTGAGGTCAGCCTTTACTGAAAGTAGAATATTAGTGCTATTCAGCTCAGATAAACGTAAGCATTTCTTTTCTCTCTACCCATCTTCTCTGGAGGCACAGCCCTGGAGTAAGTTTAGGTAAATGAGGAGTCCCAGCAGCTACCACAAGAGATTGAACATTTATTCCATCATAAAATTCCAGCAGATAAAACTATATACAGTAATCCATGCACACTGTCCAATTACACAAACATTTAAAACCTGATTAAAATACCGTCTTGCACAACAGTGGGACAGCAGGGCGAAGTTTTAGTTTAGTGGGGGACATAGTCATGTTTATATTTTGGATGCTTGTTGTAGCCTACTCTCTCCCCAGCAATAAGGCTCTGGATCACCCACTCTTGTGAGACAACAGGCAGCCGTAAAGCTTCTGCACACTTCAAGACACCAGCTGGGCAGGAAAAATCAGTCACCACCACGTCATAAACACCCAAAGCAATATCTGCACAGGAGAAAAGACAGGTATCTGTCAGGTGAAAAAAAGAAAAAGGATCTTCTCTGCAGTAGAAGATCAGTGTGTTTCACGACTATGAACTCTCTTCCATGTCCTCTCATTCCTAGCCAGTGAATTCTCTTTGTAAAAGTTAAGACATGCAACACTGCACCTTGCAAGTAAAAGATTCCCTCTAGTCCAGATAGAAATCAACAGAAAACCAGTAGCCAACATTACAGGCAGAACTAGGTAACCATGAGTCCTGACCTCAGGCTGTGAGTACTAGGGCCTACATCCCATATGGAGATGGAGAGACAGCCGAGTTCAAAAGGACAAGGAAGCACAATTTTAGTGGCCTACAAAAGGTCCAGGAGCAACTCTTGCCTATTTCCTCCTTTCAACATAGGCTGGAATCTGATGGCTTCTGTCCTGAATTGCTGCAGCATCTCCTCTGGAAGGCAGGTCTTCTAGATACAATCTTCCAGATTACATTCAAGCAGAGAGCTAGTGTCTGCACTTTGCCTTCCTTTATGCTTATACACAACCTTGTAAGCGATCTGAAAGGGTTTTAAACCATCCTAGAGACCACAGTGGCATGGGAT